ACTGGGGGGGGAAAAAAAAAAATTAAAAAAAAAAAAACTTGGAAAAAAAAAAAAAACCTTTACCCCTTTTTCAAAAAAAAAAAAAAAAAAAAAAAAAAAGACCTTCAAAAAGGGACCCAAAAAAAGTTGGAGCCAAGTTTTTTGCTCTTTGGGAGGAGGGGTTCATAGAAAAGGGGAAAAAATTTTTGGGGTTTCCCAAAGTTGAACCAGGTTTTTTTTTTTGTTTTTTTTCAAAGGAAAAAATTTTTAATTTTACAAAAAAAAAAGGTTCATACCCTTTTTTCCCCTTCTGTTTAAAAAGCTTTGGAAAAAAATTTAATGCGCGCGCGTGTTGTGGTTGTGTGGGGTGGTGTGCGAAAAAAAAAAAGGTTCCTCTTTTTGGGAGGGGGAAAAAAAAAAAGGGAGAAAGGGGAAAAAGAACAAAAAGAGGGACGGGGCCCGGGGGGGGGGGGGGCAAAAAAGAAAATTGGGTCCCCAAATCCCAAAAAAGGCTTTTTTTGGGTATAATTTTAAAAAAAAAGGGGGGAAAAAAAAAAAGGCCCCGAAAACAAAAAGGCCAAGGGGTCTTTTCCCAAAAATCCCAAAAAATCCCACAGAAACATCAAAAACCCCTTTGGGGAAAACAACTGGAAAAAAAAAAAAAAAAAAAGGGGACTCTTTTTCCATTTTTTTTTCACCCCAAAAAAAAACCCCCCCAAAGGGCAAGGCCTCCTTGTCTTTCCCTTTTCCTTTCTTTGTCAAAAGGGGTTTTTTTTTGGCAAAAAAAACTTTTTTTTTTTGGAAAAAAAAAGAACCCTCTGGGTTTTTTTTTTTTGGGGGGACTCTTTCCATTTGGCTTTTCTTGGGGGGAACCCCCTTTCTTTTTTTGAAAAAAAAAGATTTTCTGGGCTTTTTCCTGCCGGATTTAACCAAAAAAAAGGGGGCTCTTTACCCCGGGGGGTTTCCAAAAGTGACCTTTTTTTTTAGAATTTTTGGATTCCCCCTCTTGTTTTTCATATTAAAAAAACCTTTGGTTTGGGGTTTTTTTAGTTTGTTTGTAAAAATTTTTTGTTGGAGTTAAAAAAAAATTGGGGAAAGTTTTTAAAAACAGATGGGGTAATGGTTTAAAATGGGTTGGGTTTTTTGTGTTTCACCAAGAAGGGCTTTTTTTTCCCCCAAAAAAAGTTTTGCCGCAGGGGCCAAAAAAACAGGGGGCTTTTGGTTTGTTAAAAAAAAATAACCAAAACCAAAATTTTTTTTTTTTTTCTTGTTTCCTCAAAAAAAAAAAAAACTGGCCCAAAAACCCGGGGGCCCCCCCCACCCCATTTTTGATTTTTCCTTTTTTAGAGGGGGGGAAAGGGGTTTTGAAGGGGGGGACCCACGTGTGTTGTTGAGTCGGGAAAAAAAAAAAAAAAAAAAAGCCCCCCGGGGGTTCCCCAACTTTGGTTACCCAAGTCAAGGGGGGCCAAGTTTAATTTTTGTTTTTAAGTTTTTTACAATACAAGGACCGATTTTTTTTGCAAATTTTTAAGAATTAATTGTTTTTTTCTTCTTGTTTTGTTGATTTTTTGCATTTTTTTAAAAAAAAAAAAAAAAAAAAACCCTTTTTTTTTGGGTTTCTATAAAAAACCTAAAAAAAAAAAAAAAAAAGCCTCAAAGGGGGAAAGGTTTTTAAAAAAAAATTATAATTGTTTCCATAAAATTTTTTTTTGGGCTGTCTCCACCTTTGGTATCCCCCCTTCCAAAAAAAAATTTTCCAAAAAAAAAAAACCCAAAAAAAAATCCCAGCTTTTTTTTTTTTGGGGGGTCCTTTTTTGTTTTTCTCGGCTTCCTTTGAAAAAATTTGGGCTGGGGGGACTGTTTTCCAGGGGAAATTTTAAATAAAAGTGAGAAAAAAAGGTTTTTTCTTTTTTTGGAGGGGGACCAAAAAAAAAAAAAAAAAAATCTTATTTTTTTTTTATTATTTTAAAGGTTTTTAACCTCCTTTGGCAAGGGCTTTAAAAAAGGAAAAAAAAAAGAAAAAATTGGTGTAAATTAATCACAAAGGGGGTTTAAAAAAAAGAAAAATTAAAAACTTTTGTTTTTTTTTTGCCCAAAGGGGCTTTTTTTTGGGAAGTAAAAAAAAAAATTATTAATTTCAACCCCCCAGTTTTATTATTTTTGTTTTCCTTTAAAAAAAAAAGTTTTAAAACCCCAAAAAAAAGGTGGTGGTTTTTTTTTCCCCCATTGAATTATGATTTTAGGGGGGAAAAAAACTTTTTTGGGACAAAAAAAATAACTTGGACAATGTACAGTATAAAGAAAACTGTTTTATAAGAAAACAAAGCCTGTGAGATGTTTAAAGGCTTTTAAATGTTGAAAGGTGGATGGTATTTATGACGATTATAGTTAAGATTATAAGTTAATCTGTTCAGGTAGGTGTGTCGTTCAGGACTCTCCAGCAAGGGGAGCTGTTTAGTCTGTTACATCCAAAACTGAGCGTCTGGAAACAGGATCTGGGTTCCTGGGTAAAACGGGTGACAAGACTGGTTGTGTGGGCTAACCGCGAGAGCCGCGGTCGTGAGCGTTGATTGGGTCGGTAGTTTATTGTGTTTCTCCGCGCGAGGCGCAGAGTCAACAGAGTGTGTGTGGGTGCGGAGAGATCTGTAGTGTGATCGGCAACACGAAAGTGGACTCGGAAGAAGGCTGCTGTCCTGGATGTTGCAAGATGTCAATGGCCAACAAGACGTCTGCCAGGTCCCTCCCCGTGCGGCGATGTGTGCCGGCCGGGGGCGTTTTGGCGCCGGGGGCCGAGGTGTGTGGCAACGTCAGGTCGTGGACTTATTAGACGTATATGTGCGATGCTCATGTGTCGTTGTGTGCGGATGATCCAGTTGGAGAAAGTTGTGGTTTGTGTAGTAAAACTCAAAATGGCTGTTGTTTAAAGACATCAGTACCAGGAGGAGAATAAGGATGTGCAAATTATCATAATATTTAAATAGTGTCAGGTAATTCCTTGATTTAATGTGGTTGTTAGACTACAGGAGGATATTGTGAAGGAACTGTGGTTATTGTTAACAGCAAGTGTTACTGATGCAAGAGCCTCCTAAGATAGACAAGACTTGTATTTGTTGGATTGCAGTGTTGCTGCTCGCTCTGTATGTTGTGAAAGCGGGGGGTCCAGAGTTCAGTGGAGACAGGTGGAGCGCATCCTTCAGTGGCTCTGCAGCACGGGCTATTTATACTGAGAGATAAAGCGGATGTTGTGTATGGAGGAGGACGCCAAGCGGACAGGTGCCGCGCGTGGCAACGGAGCCGACAACTAGATACTATTAGTGTACACGCGGTGCGCGACCCGGGTGCTAGAGGTGGCCAGTTGATAATATTAGCGTTACTTCCTCTTGAGGCGTTCGACCTGCCCGCCCACTGGCCGGAGGCTACTAGCTGGTAGTCAGAGTAGAATCAATGATATGCCTGGGTTGGTTGTAGATCTCGCGGGGTTTAATCTGATCCCGAACTGTGGCCACGCAGATGCGCGTTGGTTTCGATCAGGCGCTGCTGACCTGCTATCCTGTGTGTGATCTTGCGGGTCCAACTGGTGTGGCAGAAAGCAATAATTGTGACACCACCACAATCTATGTAGATAAAACTGGCATTGTGATTAATAAACAGTCATGGGAGCGGCCAACTGTTGGTAATACTCATGTTAATTAAAATTATAGCTCATTTACATTGGAAAAATCTCATTATTTGTAGTTGTAAATGCATTAATGTTATGATTTTTACTGCTTCAAGCTGCCCCAGTTGCTTCCACGGTTACTGGTTGTGAGATTGAAAGAATCAAATCAGTCAGAGAGATGCACTTTATGTGATCCCAGAGGGAAATTTGTTTGTTGACAGTTTGTTCTACCTGCATACAAGTTAAGAATAATACCGAAATAATTCTGTATATTACAATATCTGAACACGAATATACAGGAATAGGGAAATGGTATGGTATAGGTTAGATACATTAAGTAAACGGTAAATGCTTAAACAGTAGTTCCCACAGTGGGTGGACCAGAAATGAAAATAAGTAATGAGTTTAAGATGTGTGGTTTGGCCGTTATAGATAATTACAAGGAATGATTGAAAAATTACAGGAATGACATAATAATCCAGTGTATTGCACATTATCAGCACCAGTTTAATGACTCAGAGTTTTGACACTCTGAGGGAGGAGTTAAAGAGATAGATGAACCACAGAGCGACACAGGAATGACTTCTGTTAATCTGATCCCAACCATCTTCATCATCTTACCTCTGAGTCTGTGTCTGCATTTGGGTCCAACTTTGCAAAACATAATGCTACAACACATTATGTAAAAAATTGCATTGTGTAATACATTTTGTGGTTATTCATCTGTACACATGTTATACATCTATAACAATTCACCTCAATTAAAACAAATTAAATTAATTATTAAATTAGTCTTCTACGACCTGTGGACCTGTGGTTGGTGCTTCATTGACAAATGTCCCCCTAGGGTAACTTTGGAGTACTGCAGATGGAACTTAAAACCTTAATTTGAAAACTATCAGTCGTGCATCATTTCTACAATAATTATAAACGTTTAATGTAATTCTTCCGACAAATTACATTGTTATGATCTTTATATTACATATTTCCAATGCAATCGTTAACTGCAGTAAAATCTGATGACAAAAAGTTAGTTTTCTTGAATTTAATGTTGGACTTTAAACTTTTTAATTGAAGCATTTAAGTGTTTTTCTAAACAAACTTCTTAATGTCGGTTTTACATTTTTCACAGTGAAGATCAGCTTGTTATTATTTTACAAATACAGACAAACTTATTGACTTTGGGGTCGACTACTGCAACGGTCTGTTGACAGGAAACCCCCAAAGAGATCCAAAAACCTTCAAAATAAAGCTCATTTGAAAAAAAGATTTCCACATTTTGTAACATCCACCACAATATGTAGTAATTTATTACAAAATGCAGCTGTTTTTACATAATAAGAGAACATTTATCACCTAAGAAAACTATGAAATTATAATTGGTACATGCAGTCATTATTTAAGTTGTTACTGTACATGAGAACTTCAACTTCAGTCACAACAGGATTTAACAAACGAGGAAGTGAGAAACATAACGATTCAAAGAGTTCCTTCCTTACTCATTCACATTAACTGTGAACTCAGCAGCACTAAAACAACCAGAGCTGCAAATACATTCACAGAATTACAGACCACACCGTACTGTACCCAACTGAACACGACTTCTTCTGGCAGATTAACACATTTTTAGGACATTTTAAGATCTGCTTTAATGGCGTTAAGCTAGCTACATGCTTACACGTTATGTCATTATAATGAGAAACTTCTTCAGAATAATGACTCAGTATCTCAAGAAGTGAATACAGAATGTAAGAGAGTAGTTAATTCAACATAAAGTTAATAAAATAATACTCATTACATTGTGAAATGCATTATATGTCATTAAAATAATGGTTGTTGGTAATGTACGATGTATAATTTTACTGTTGCTGTGTGATTAAAAGTCCTTTTTTTAATGTTGGCAGAAATATATAAATATATATATTTATTTACACACATGGACAAAATTGTTGCTACAGTTCTGTTAAAGAAAGAATAACCAACAATGGTGACTGAAATAACTTGAAACTTACCTTTCAAAGCTCAGACAGTTGGAGCAGTTTGCTCTCGAGGAGTCAGAGAAAATGTCAGTTGACAGGTTTTTTGTTTTTCAGAATTACTTTTACAAGTTCATACCTTTTCTCTGTAAAGCTGAAAATAACCTTTGTGGCAAGTCTCTGAGAAAGGAGAAGAAGAAAGAGACGGGGGAGAGGCAAAGAATGGTCATCAGCTGTATATAAAGGGAAGCCCGAGCAGGTCTCAAACATCACATCAACCCTGAACACTGAAGACTTTTCATCACAAACAGCAGCTCTTCTCTCTCTGTCAGTGCAAACATGAAGACTCTGGTGACTCTCATGCTTCTGACTCTGATCTGCTTCCTGCGATACAGCTCTACCGGTCAGTGACTGATTGATTCCTCTGTTCATATTAACTGTGTTTAGTGTTAAATGTGAGTTAAATGTATGTATGTGTGTGTTCACAGCTCCAGTTGCAGCACAGGCTTTGTTTAAACAACAATGCTGTCAAAACTGCAACGCCACCATGATTCCTAGAGGGAGGGTGAGACACGTGGAGTCGAGCCCCAGTCACTGTACAGTCAAGGCAGTTATGTAAGTACATACAGACGATGCATTAGATTATGTTCTCTGTTGTGATTTTGCATTTAAAACCTTTTTTGTCTATAAACTTAAAGCTGCAGGAGGTTTAAAATATAAATTCATATTTGCTGTCACTGTATCCTCAAATCAACAATCAGCTGTCTGTCTCGGCTCTGATTGGCTGACTGTCAGGATATAGTGAAAGTTTCTGAGACAAAATATTTTTATATAAGTTCTCCTGCAGCTTTAGAAAAGGTGTAAATAGCACAGGGTAAAAATACTGTTTGCAAGTTAAGTAAAATATTATATTATGTCCTTAAAGCAGCCAGTGGTGGTTTTCATGATGATTTAGGAAAACTGACAACTTGACAATGTACAGTATTTAAAGAAAACTGTTTATAATGAAAACAACTGTAAGTTGTTTAACTTTTAAATTTAATAATATTATTATGACAATTATATTATAATTATAAGTTAATCTTCAGTAGTTTTCAGACTCTCCACAAGGGGGAGCTGTTTAGTTGTACATCCAGACCTGCAGGTCTGAAACAGGATTGGTTCTGTAAAAGGTGACACTGTGTTTCTAACAATATATATTTATTATGTGTTTCTCACAGAGTCACAAGTGTGTGTGGTAAGAAGATCTGTATTGATCCCAACACGAAATGGACTCAGAAGCTGCTGTCTGATTTCAAGATGTCAATGGCCAACAAGACGTCTCCATCTCCCCCGTTCAATGTCATAAAGTGTCCAGTGTGAGAAAGCTGTCGTATTATAATTATATGTGGATTATGTTCTTTATGTCACTGACATTGTGAGAAAGTTTGGTTGTAGTAAAACTCAAAATGCCTTTTTAAAGACATCAACCAGAGAAAATAAGAGCTGCAACATTATATAATATTTTAAATATGTACAGTTAATTCCTGATTTAATGTTTGTTAGACTACAGGAGGATATTTAAACTGTATTATTGTTACACAATGTACTGATCACATCTAAATAAAAGCTTTATTTTTGGATTCAGTGTTCTGCTCGCTTTATTTTGAAAGCCGTGAGTCCAGAGTTCAGTGGAGACAGTGAGCGACCTTCAGTGGGCTGTTTAATATTTATACTAAATAACAATGTTTATAGAGGGTCAAGCACTTTTGCTCTTGTGGTGTAGGGGATGATGGAACCTAACGGGTCATACTGCTTGGCTTTAACCCTGTAGGTGTTTCTCATTGTTGTCTCATGATAGTCAAATGGCCGATATCTGTATGCCAAAGTGTCAGTGTTACACATCCAGCGTAGCCCAAAGGGCAACTGTTCTGGGTCTTGCAATGATTCACTGAGCCAAAACTCATTCATCTCTGACCTTGCTTCTTTAGGCAAGTGACTTATGATTACTGGTATGTTACTAGCCCACTGACTCAAACCCTCCCTCCGCTTGTCAACGCCTCTACTTGAGATGGCACACTTTATAGATGATTATCTACATAGAAGCACTTTTGTGGATGGTCTTTTGGGAGCACCCTCACTTGGTGAAACATGTCTTTTAGGTCGCTACTTACAGAGACAGTGTGCTCCCTGAACCTTAGCAACACATGTAAGTAAGTAAGTAAGTGAACAGTTGAAGGCAATATGATTTGTGTCATACCACTGCTGTCTCTTTTGGCACTCTGATTACATAGCCAGCTTGTTCCAGTTTCCAGTTCCAGTATGCTTTTTTGACAGCCTCCTTAGATGCTTGTAATTGGGGCATGTCCTCCAAATGCAGCAGGGGTGTCGCATACCTTGAATCCCATCAATGTCCACACAAACTGTTTCAGCCTCCAATAGCTTTATTGTGTGCTCTGCTAAAGCCACGTTTGCTGAGGTAAAGGCTCCCTCTATCTTGAATGTTTTCCGATGGTGGTCAGCAAGGAAGATGGTAAATGTGACACAAGATGCATGCAGTATCTGTAGGTCCTGGTGAACTGTGGTTTCCACTTTAGTTTGAGCTTTTCAGCAGCAGCTTGTAGGACTATTGTTCTCTCAGAGCCTCTGTGAACTAAGATAGAATATGTTTCCAATTTATGTTGTCCACTTCGCAAGACAACCTTGCTCTCCTTAAAAAGTACCTGACTACTTCAAGCACGACGGTCAAGGTACAAAACTTCATTGGTAGACTTGGCCGTGCTAGTCTTCACTGCAGCTTTAGGTTTTAGCTCATGTAAAGCTTCCAGGTGTTGACCATTACATGTCTTGTAGGTGGCCTTTAATTTGCATTGAACTGCCTGGTGACTGCATCAGCATCGCCAACATGCCTTTTTTCAGTGCAAACATGAAGACTCTGGTGACTCTCGTGCTTCTGACTCTGATCTGCTTCATGCGATACAGCCCTACCGGTCAGTAACTCTGACTGATTCCTCTGTTCATATTAACTGTGTTTAGTGTTAATGTGAGTTAGATGTGAGTTAAATTTATGTATGTGTTCACAGTAGAGGCTTTGACTCAACAACAATGTTGTCAAAACTACATCAGCACCAGAATCCCTAGAGGGAGGGTGGGACACGTGGCGATGAACCCCAGTTACTGTCCAGTCAAGGCAGTTATGTACATACAGATGATGCATTAGATTATGTTCTCTGTTGCTGCTGCAGTGATTTAGCATTTTAAAAGTTTGTTATGAGAGAATTTGTTTCTCAGTTTCCTTAACTTAAAGCTGCAGCAGGTTAACTTTTATTTAATAAATAAGTTTCTATCATATTTGCTGTATCCTGACAGTCGTAACACAGCAAACAAGGCTCCTCCTCCTCCTCCTCCTCCCCCTCGGCTCTGATTGGTTGTTTAATTAAGTTAAGGTAAGTTATTACGGTTAAAATACCCTCAGATCCAAACTGTCAAACCAAAACTTTATTTCCACAGTGAGACTCTTTACTGATTTGGGTATAGTATAGTATATGAACTAAGTGTTTAAAACGAAATCAAACTACTTTACATTGTGCATTTAATCTCCAATAATGCTTCTTCTTGTTTGTATTTCAGTATGTTTTGTATGTTTATAATTTAACATCCTTTAAAAATAAAAAAAATGACTGAAAAATTAATCTTCAGTAGTTTGCAGACTCTCCACAAGGGGGAGCTGTTTAGTTGTACATCCAGACCTGCAGGTCTCAAACAGGATGTGAACTGTTTGGTTCTGTAAAAGGTGACACTGTGTTTCTAACAATATATATTTATTATGTGTTTCTTACAGAGTCACAGCCACGTGTGGTAAGCAGATCTGTATTGATCCCAACACGAAATGGACTCAGAAGCTGCTGTCTGATTTAAAGATTTCGATGGCCAACAAGACGTCTCCATCTCCCCCGTTCAATGTCATAAAGTGTCCAGTGTGAGAAAGCTGTCGTATTATAATTTATGTCACTGACCTTGTGAGTTGTAATAAAGCTCAAAATGCCTTTTTAAAGACATCAAACAGAGAAAATAAGAGCTGCAACATTATATAATATTTTAAATATGTACAGTGAATTCCTGATTTAATGTTTATTAGACTACAGGAGGATATTTAAACTGTATTATTGTTACACAATGTACTGATCCTTTCTGAATAAAAGCTTTATTAGATTCAGTGTTCTGCTCGCTTTATTTTGAAAGCTGTGAGTCCAGAGTTCAGTGGAGACAGTGAGCGACCTTCAGTGGGCTGTTTAATATTTATACTAAATAACAATGTTTATGGAGGAAATGACCATCTGCAACGACACAACTAATACTATTAGTTACACTGTACTGGTCTAATGCCATTGATAATATTACTTACTTCTTAGGCTTCGACTGCCCGTCCACTGCTACTACTACTTAAGTCAGATAAATCAATGAAAGCCTTGTTTAAATCTCTTAATCTGATCCCAACTGTTGCAATAAATCCTTTTCATCATCTTACCTCTGAGTCTGTGTCTGCATTTGCGTCCAACTTTGCAAAACATAATGTTACAACACATTATGTAATAAAACTGCATTGTGTAATAAACAGTATGAACGCAATGTGTAATACTCATGTAATAAAATTATACTCATTACATTGGAAAAACACATTATTTGTATTGTAAATGCATTAATGTATGATTTTACTGCTTTCAGCTCCCAGTTGCTTCCACGTTACTGTTGTGATTGAAAATCAGAATCAGTCAGAAATACTTTATTGATCCCAGAGGGGAAATTTGTTTGTTACAGTTGTTCTACTCATACAAGTTAAATAATAGAAATAATACTTATATTACAATATCTAACACAATATACAGAATAGAAATGTATGTATAGGTAGATACATAAGTAAACGTAAATGTAAACATATTCCACAGTGACAGAAATGAAATAGTAATGAGTTTAAGATTGTGGTTTGCAGAAGTTATAGATAATTACAA